TATTTTATTCCATCCTTACCCCCTTGGGGATGTGGGATCACTGTCCTTCTCATTTTGTAGATGAGGACCCCAAGGCTTCGAGGTAGTGACCCTAGAAGGTCACCACATGTGGTGCAGTAAACAGACCAGCGCTGCTGTGTCAGTTTTGACATTTTCTGGCTGGCGTGACCTTGGAATAATTACTTAACATCCTTAGGATCAGTCTCTTTTACATCTGAACACTAGGAATACTTACTCATAATATTACAGGAGAATTCCGTGAAGTGATATGTAAATGTCCTGGCAGGACCTTCTGTGAGCAGGGGGTTTCCTGGATTATGAACATTTCTGGTGTCGGTGTTGGGTCACCAAGTTAGTTTCTCTCGTTCAGAGTAAGACCCCTGAGGTTACTGGCAAACAACCTTCTACCTCTGTGACCTTGGACTTGTCATTGAACTTTCCATGCCTTAGTTTCCTCATCTCTAAAATGGGGGGCGAGGGGGGGGGATAGGAATAACTATTTCACAGAGCTTTGGTTAGAGTTAAATGAAGTACTTAGGTCAATATTTTGTAAATTGGCAGATTACAAGAGAGGAAGAGGAGTGTACAATGTTGCAATCAGAAGCTAGGCAGCTGGTTGAGGAAGAGCAAATGCTTCTGTGCTTTCTTCAGCGTTATCCACTTAATAACCACTGGCATTGGCAGCTGGCTGGAGTGGCCATCCCGGCAGCGAGTCCGCCTGGACCGTGGGTGTCCTCACCTCTAGCCTGCTACTCACACATCTTCTCTGCACAGTTGCCATGAGATGGCGCTATGGGGATGGTTTACTTTTCTCCCACTTGCTGCTATTCCTTCAGGCTGAAAGCAAATTGGAGCAGTTTTTATTTTATTATTTTGAGTTTTGTGCTTTCTAAATATTCAAGAGCTTTGATGATAAGAATACGTTTAAGGGAAAATGAAATGCATATGAAGGTTAAGATACATTTTTCATAGTTTGAATGGCCTTTTAAATGATTAGAACACTGAGGCTAAAAGGAGAAACTGTATTTTTTATTTTCTTTTATTATTCATCAGTTTAGAACTAACCTTGCAAGAACATTTTAGATATATAGTAAATAAGTTGATTTGGAAACTCAGCGACTCTCATGATATAAATTATTCATGTCATCGTAGGTAGCACATATTTCTTGCATAATATATATTTTTATCATAGTTAAAGCATTTTTACATTTATGTTATACAAACAAAGGAGAGGAATCTAATTGTTTTCTTGTTTTCTCTCATGTTATTGTTAACTCTTATATGGCTTTTCAAGTGATGAATGAAAGAATGACTCACTGTGTCTTCCAGGGAATACTTTAGTGAGTTTCAGGCATTTGGAGGAAAGAGAGGCACCATAGTTTAGTGGAGTAAGACAGATTCCCATTTAAATTCCGTCCTGCACTGTCCATCAAGTCTCAGAGATTCTCGTTTTACTTACGTGTGTAAGCCACACAGCACGGCACATGATGGACTTCATCAAGCCTGCTTTCCTGCCCTGTTCTCAAGCTTCCTGGGAACAGAGAAGTAATGAGGTACAGGGTATGGGTACTACAAATATTGAAATGTGTGGGTGTTCTTAGAAATAAGATCACTGTGGCATCCTAAATTAAGATGCTTTTGGTCATTCTCTAAGATCTGTGTTTCATATATATTTTTATTTTTTTCAGAATAAGTCTTGGGTTTCTACTGGGTCTATCCTTGTTAGTCAGTGATAGCAGAGAGACAGGGTGTCTACAGGAGTCTAGTAGGCTTTCCGAGCCACTCAGCCCAGGGATCTTCCACAGAGGGGAGGGTCCTGGCTTAAGTGAACACAGAAGGAACCATAAAGACATGGGGTCCCTTGGCAGAGTCAGCACAGGGCTCTGGACCAGTGAGGAGGCCTATGTGGAAACCAGCATTCAGAGCAACCTAAATTCAGGTCATGTTAATGTGTTTTTTTGTTTGTTCATTTGTTTTCAGTAAAAATCCAAAGATTGACGCAAAATTCCAAGTATTGATACATAAATTATTGGCGAATCATTCCAGCTGACGTGTGGTGTCACTTGAATTCCTAATTCTTTTAAATCTCTTTTTGGCTTCCTGTCTATATAACCATTTATAATACAGCGAATATGCTTTTGTTCTTCCTTCTTTTTAGTTTACATCTTGATGATTTGAATATGCTTTGTATGTGCTTGATGTCTGTCTCCCACTCATGAGAATGGACAAAGTCATCTCCTATACCCTGGTGATGTCCTGTCGTAGAAGAGATGGTCTCAGTGGAGAGCTGGCCCTGCTCGCCAATTCCCTTATTAATAATAATAATAGCCTGGTATCAACTACCTGAAACACATGTCATCACTTTTATCAAAACTTTTCTAATACTTCAGTGACTCATGTCCATCATTATGCAGAAGACCAGTTTGTTTGCTTTCCCAGGGGTATATTTTTCAACTAATTTGTTTTACAGGATTCACTAGGATATTATATTGTTTTATGGGGATGATAGTTAGATGTTTTTTCAGCTGCCTCAATGATGTCTTCTAAAAAATGTCCCGAATCAAATCTATATTGTGAAGAAGTGATCACCCGTGTGTGTGTGTGTGCAATGATGTGCGGTAAGGGGGCACAATTCACATGGTAGACGGATGCTAACTTATATGGGAGTTTGTGGTGGGAGCTGAGATCCAGGGCTTCTGGATGGAAAGGAGAGCCCCTTCCTACATAAATCCATAATGACCCCTGTGGCCTTGGGCACTCAACAGAGTGGGTGTCAACACATTCCATTCCTAACCACTTGGGGGGTCTTTGAGGTGCATTAGCTCCCTACAGCCCCAACTCTGAATGTGAGACCATCTCCTTACCTAGAGCATAAGAGGGAGAGGGCAGAGTATGCTTCCTGATGGTAGCCTGCATGTCAGTAACTCTTCACGGTGTAGTGTCCCTGTGTATACTCACAGGCTAGGCTGCTGTCCAGGGGGCTCTGCAGAAGTCTTGTGGCCAGAACAAGTCAGGTTGTGTAATATTACACTAGTGAAAAATGTTTTTACTTTTTTTGATTCACACATAAATAACTAAAGGAGCTGGCAATAGCCTTAGAATAAACTAAAATTAATATCCATGTTGCCCAACCTTTAGCAAAACCATGGTTGTAGGAAGTCATCCTCTTGCATGTTTTCTACAAAGAAATGTGGACAGTTCCGTTCTTTAGGCCAGAGGTTTTTGAATTCGTCTAGTAATACCCAAAGGTTCCATGATATTCTAACAGGCCCTTGAGGACAAAGAGTCAAGCAAGAAAGCCCTATTTTATTTCTGCTACAGCACTCCACTTTTATGCTTCTCGATATTGGTATGTAAAACAGAAGTTTGAAGAAAAGCTTTGGTTGGGTATGAAGTATTCTCTTCATCTCTGCATCAAGGAAGGCCATCAGAGAGCTGTGTACTTGAACTTCATTGCTTGACTCCTTGCAGAATCATTTTTTATTGATTTGTACTTTGCCACTGCACCCTTAGTGTGTTCTAGAAGTGCTCTGAGATGCCACTCTATACAAATTTCCCTGTCTGTTTTATTGGTGAACACCTTCTGTATTTATGAGGACTCGGGGTAAATTCCATCAGTGCTTTGAATAGAGCTGTGGATTCTTCTAAAACAATACTAAAAAAAAAAAGAATACGTAATTTTCTCCTGTGTAGATCATGGCTGTGGTAACGACTTCTTTCCTTTGATCACTAAGATATCTGGTCTCCACGTTTAACTCATCTGTGGCTAAATATTTAGGGATAATAACTTCTACCCTTGATATTGTTGTATCGTTCAACCATGTTATCCCTTTTGAACTATGTCTCTTGATTTATTTTTCTAATACATGTAATTGTGGCAAGTTATTTAGGATCTCCTAACTCCAGGTAGAATTTTCTTATTATTGTCTGGAAAAATCTGCCTGGATATGTAGTAGGCACATCAGACTTATACTCTCTAAAGGGAATTCTTTGTGTCTTTCCTTTCAAACTTGCCCCTCTGCCTGTTTCTCCTCTTTGGTAAAGAGCTCCCAAGGGTCCAGACATCAGTTTGCCGTCTTGCCGTCTTTTGAAATCTCTCTGTCTCTCATATCCCAAGTCCTTTAATCCAGCCTCAACACTACCTTTCAAATTTTTCCTGACTCATCAGTACTGGCCTGGACCAGTTCTTGAGGTCCCTAGCTGGCCTCAAGTTCTCTGACATCTCTCCCCAGCAATCCCTTAACCCATTGATGTCAGTTATATAAAGCCATTTGCTCTCCAATCATTTTTTATTGCTATTTACAGAATGGAGCCAGATCCCCCACATACCATTCACGGCTCTTTATCATTCGCTCCCTAGCCTATGTTCTCAATCTCATCTCCGTCCCTTCCTTCCTCCCCTCTGTGTCTTTCACAGCCCTCATCAGACACTCTTCGAACACAAAATGCATTTTACACCTGGTTCTCTCAGCCTGAAATGCCCTTCCTGGCACCTGGACGCCCTTATATTTCCCTAAGGCTCTTCTCAAATATTATTGTGTGTGAGATTTCCCTCTCTTTTTTTTCTGACTACAGAAGCATGCTTTGCCTCCTCCTCAATCTTTCCATTTCACTTTCTTAACAGTACTGTTAGAGCAGTCCTCACCCTATTTTAGACTTTGTTTTGTATGTGTATCTTTCTCTGCGAATTGTGAGCTCCTCAAGGAGTTTGGCTGAATAGAAGGTGGGGATATACCAGGTATCTGCTATCGGTCCTTTTAAAAATCAAGGTAAACTGAATGAGGGACTGTGGAGATTCTAGAATTGATAATGCCGTCATTGGGTACGAACTGAAAACGTGGCTAATTAGCTGGTGACCTTAAAATGTTAATATTATATCTATTCTCTTTATGGTAATGGAAAATTTGTAATGCTTTCATGATAAAAGTTCTAGCAGTCAAAGTGAGTTTGTAGAATCTCTGTACGAAAGAAACTTATCCGATTTTCTTTTTTTCTTTTAGGAATAGGCAAGCCAAGAGGCTGAAAATCTGAAGAATGTTTCCAAAGGGTAATTTGGCTGTCACTTGCTGGGTATGGAGGAGCATGAGGAAGTTATTTCTATTCCTTTTTCTCTTGCTGTTCCATGCAGCTCATTTGGAAGGCAGAAAGGATAATCAGTTCATCTGGAAACCAGGTAGGAATGTCCTGGCTGTTCCTTTGTCCCATGTTCATTAATGAGAAGAATATTCTTTCCATCCTTATTCTAATTTGTGGAGTACTGGGGAAAAATCTAGAAAGAGGGAAATTAATTTATTTTTTATTATAATAAAACGTACACTTGATATTTATTCCGCCATAACGGTCACCTCCATCCCTGATGCTTGTTATCCTTCTGAATTTGTATAATATTGTCAATTAAAGACATGATTTCCACAGTTACATCTGCTTCTCCTTGGTCAAATATATCACCGCTGTGCAGTGTACTTGTAACAAAAATGACATCTGAATTTAGCTGATACCCTCAGCTCAAAATACTTTGGACCACTTCCGTATGTCTCTTTCTTTTAGGGTGCAAGTCAGTTAGCTATGTATTATTGTATAGTTTTTAGTAAACCTGTATACCTAGGCTTGGGAGCATGAAAAATTATCCTAGCAACTTGGCTCATTAGTTGTGACTATAAAGTCACCTTAATGTGTTTTTTACAAACCCATATTAATAAGTTGAATTGAGTTTTGGAGGCTTTCATGTAACTTACATTCTTTCTTCCCTAACTACTTCCTTAATTTGGCTGTAGAAAAGATCTGTTGAATATAGTTTTAGAGGCTAATAATTTATTAACTTAAATTATGAACCCCGGACATCTTGGCTCTTTGTATCATTGATATTTTTCTTTGCTCTGGATGTTAATTTTCTTAAAGTTCCCCAATCAGATCATTTAGAATATTTATTACCGTTTCAAGAGTCCATTCTTGTGAATACAGATAACTTATACGTTTAATATCTTGGAATGGAAAAATGTGATGTTGTAGAAGATATATGGTCCTCAAAGAGTTTTCATTTTAGTCTCATCATCTGTACATTAAATAGACTGCAAATGTATTGTGTCAGCATGAAAATATGTGTAAGAGATATTTGTAATATTTAAATGACTTTGCAAAAATGAAAGTAAATTATGCTTTAAAGTATATTAAGTTAAAAAAAAAAAACAGCACTATTAGAGATACAGTCTGAAGGAAGTTTAATTGTGTTAAAGCCACTGTAAGTTAATTTAATTATGGGCTCTAATATCACATTAGTGATATGCATTTTTTTTTTTTTTACCATGGTAGTTTTAGCAAGCTTTGGAAATAGTTCTAAAATATTGCATTTCTATGAATCAGGCTATTTTGTTTTAATTACAAAAGACTAAATATTTTTATCACATTTAAATAAGTACATTTATATGAATATACTCCTATCTAAAGTTCTCAAAAAAGTGCAATTAAAATGAAAGTAACAAATCTGAAATATGAAGGTGGGAACCCTGATGGGGAAAAAAAGAGACGTATTAAGAAGGGCTGCTCTTGGCTAATGGGGCTCACATTCTAACAAACAGCCTAGTGGCCATTTTCACACAGGGCCTGTCCTGCTAAGTGCACCTCACAGAGAAGTCAGCGCTGAACTCCTGCCTCTGCGCTGAGCTGCCTGCCTGCACTGTTCCTGCCACCGGGGCCAGCCCTTAGAAGGGAGTTCCTGGAATCCCACTTCAACCTATAGGAGCAAGGCTTTCCCCGTTCAATCAAAGCTGCACAGCTCTGGCCAATCAGAGCAGCTCTGTTCTGACTAGTCAGGACATTGCCTTTGGACTCATCAAACTTTGAGGATTTAGAGTCCTCATTTGCAGGAGGATGGACCAATCAGGGACCAGGGATGGGGACTCCTGACCATATAAGCCATTCTCCTCTGGCTTAGGGAACACACTTTCCCTCACCCTAGAGGATAAAGACTGCCTCTCCCTGGCTGAGCTGAAACACCTACGGTGTCTCACCAGAGCAGAGCAAAGCAGACCACCCTGGAGCGCAGCAGTCCATGCATCACAAAGCGGACTGGCATGGAGCAGACCAGACCATCAAGGAACAGAGCAGTGCTGTCTAGTTGAAGAGAGGTCTGGCTCCAGGGCTCACAGCCATGCTGTATCACTATTGAGCTATTTGCACTGAATAATTTCCTTCTTCACTACACCTCGCATTGGGGATCCTGTTAGCGTTGAATTGTGCCAACGACCGTTGGTTGACAAAGGAGATGTTTTAAGAAAATGGGCTTATTTTGAATAATATTTTAAAAGTAAGTCTGCTTTTCTAAAAATAGGTCAGTGGAACAAGGTAGTACAAATCCTCTCTACAGTGGATGAATACATTGATAATTGTCAAAGGAAGCTTCAGTGTGAGAGTCCTTCCCATCAGACACATTGCATTGTTCAAAATGAACATTGATGTCAACACTCTTATTTTCCCTGGTATTTGTTACTTCTTTCCTTCCTTAATGTGTCCTAGAAAAGGTAATATCTATTTTCATTTGGCTTTATTTTTGTATTACAAATTTATTACTTGTAGTTGACCAGGCATTTTAAAACTAGAAACAATTTAAAAGATACAATATTAAAACAAAAGTTTAGACCTATCTGAATGTGTAAATCACACAAAGCACACACACAAATATTTCTATTATCATTAATAGGGTTCTGCCAAAAAAATAAAATAAAGTAAATGGCACACACAAAGTAGGTAATTGAGAATCATGTAATAAGAGGATTATTTGCAATGGTGGGATAGTGTGAGCAGGGTTTAAGAACAGTTCCAAAGAATTGGAAAGTGCCCCTGGCTAGTATTAATCTTTATGACTTCTGGTTCTGCAGGGGCAAAGAAAGAAAGTGGTTTCTAGACTCTCAGGAGAAAGCTTTATGGAGAGGATGCTGGACAATGATGTGGCCTCTAGAGGGATATAACCACTTGCAATAAGAATAGGAAGGGGGAGTCAGCTCTTTGTGGCTCCACAGATGGAGACAGACTATAATTGTGGAAATGGAGACATTGAGCACCTCAGATGAATAGAAGTTCAGTATCTAAGTGACTTGCAGCTTATCAGCTAAATCAAGAACCTTGATTTAGTAGCAGTGGGTGTTCTCCTTTTGCATTATTTGGAGTGTGCAGAGGTAGCTACGCATGGGATAGAAGACCTACTAAAAGTACATTAACAGGAGAGATTCCAAAATGGCGACCCAGTGATCCCACTTCTAGGAATATACCTTAAGAAGCCTGAAACACCAATCAGAAAGAATATATGTACCCCCATGTTTGTAGCAGCACTATTTACAATAGCTAAGATCTGGAAACAGCCCAAATGTCCATCAGTAGACGAATGAATTAAAAGCTGTGGTACATATACCCAATGGAGTACTATGCAGGTGTAAGAAAGAAAGATCTCTTATCCTTTGAGATGGCATGGAGGGACCTGGAAAGTGTCATCCTAAGCGAAACAAGCCATACAGAGAAAGACAAGTATCATATGATCTTACTTATTTGTGGAATATAATGAACATAACAGTCTGAGGAATGAGGTAGTCCCAGAGACGTGGAACTGGGGTACAGACCGACAATCCCCAGAAGAGGGGGTGGTGGGGGAGAGATAAATCACAGAACTTATATGCATGTGTGCATAAACAGTGGACATGTACAACAAAGCTGGGGACAGGACGGGGAGGGAGTGGGAGGGGGGAATCAGTGGGAGAAAACGGAGAAACATCTGTAACAAAAAAAATTTAATTAATTGAATAATAATAATAAAAAGAATAGGAAGGGGGCCAGGGCTCCCATTGGCTGAATCCAAACAGAAGCTACAAGGCAAGGGAGCCCATTGATGTGTCCACATAGACAGCCTCCGGGGGAGGGAACATGGTGGAGAATGCTGGGGAATGTGGATGTGAAAATACCAAAATCATATGAATGTGTATGTGCATACACACACACACACACTTTGCCTCATACGATCAGAGCCATGCTCTGCATCATTTTTTGCAGTTTGCTTTTTATCATATAATGATGTCTTGCTGAACATTACTTGTGAGTTCACGTGGGTCAATTTTATCTTTCAGTGGTTGCATAGTATTCTTTTGTATTTTTATTCAATAATTTATTTAACCAGCACTCTGTTGCTTCATCTTTTCTTCCCTATTGCTTGGAATTTCAGTGATGTTTTTTGTTTTGCTATTACAAATAATACTGATATAAATAAACATAATTTTAAAGATAAACAATAGATCAATTTGAGGAGTCATAGGTCCTTAGAACAATACTGAGTCGTCATCACCTTCAAAGACAACCCCAATTGCTTATGGGTGAGCTTATTATGTTACACTTGGATTTTCTTTTTAAACTGCAGTTGGAATTTGCTGAGTTTTTTGGACTGTGTTATCAAATCTAGCCATTCAGGTCCAATGTAATCTAGAATTAAACAAATTTCCATGGAGACTCAGTTAAATATACTTTATTTTAGAAACCTAGAAACCATTCTCAGGTGTAGATTATAGGGTCAGCCACTTAAGCTCTGGTATCTGTTGTGTTTCCTTGAGTCCATAGGTTAGATGTTAGTTAACTTCATCCAATTTAGAGGCATTTCTAAATGAGTCATCGCTTCAGATAAACAATGAGTTGTTGAATAGTAAGAGAATGATATGAATGTTCTGAAGGATTTCTGATCTCAGGAAGAGACTGGAGAGCTCTAGGCTATAGGGACACTGATCTGGCAAGGTTGTTGAATGCCTGTCATCATTGTGATAAGATCCTCTGACCTTTGTTTAGTGTCAGACGATCTGTCATGTGTGCCAAGACAGAAGGATCACATCAGCAAGAATATCAGATAAGGTGTGATGTTTTCTGTTTAAGTAAATAAAACTATTCCTGTCTGCACACTTTGTAGAGATGAACAGGTCATGGTTTCTCAAGTCATGGTAACTAATGGCCTCTTAAAAATTTTCTCAGTATTAGTTCTCAGATGTTTGTTCATTCCACTAATACTTGTCAGGTCCTTATGCTGTGCCAGGTACTGTTATGAGCACGTGAGACAAATTGAGGATAAAATGGACAAATCCTCGGTCCTCATAAACAGGGTAAAAAACGCAATCAAGATGTTAAGTAGGGAACACGTTTGATGGTGTT